AGGTCAAAATGGGCTTTTTAATAGGCTTCTCCAAGCTTTGGACCAGACTCGCATTCCTTCTGTTTAAAAGCCACCTGAACTGCTCTCAGGACCATGGTCCTGCTGCCTGGCCACCCCACAGCCCACTTCACCACAGAGTCCTTCTTGCCAAGGCAACTCGAGGGTTGCATATCACAGCACCCAAAGAGAAGAAGCTGGACATTGTTTGCTGAGGAGTTTTAGTTCATGCTGTTTGGAAATACCAGATCATGGTAATCTGTCAAGCACCAAAGAAGTCAGTATTGGAGCTGATATCACAGGATGGCCCAGAAGCTCAGGCCGGGCCATGCTGAGGTCATCCATTGCCAGGCCCTGTCCCTTGCTGAGCCCAACTTGCTGTCTGGATTCCCCTTGGACCTGACTCATCCCTTTGCATTTGCCCTGTGATCCCTGGGCTGCCAGTGAAACCTGTCACTGCCACCTTCCATATAGAAATGGGTTTGAGTGCTTTATTGTGAACTTATATACTGAAGCAATAAGATTTAAGTACTTACTCAATTTTAAAAAATCAGTATATTAGAAAAAAAGAAAAACTAGAGCATATGCATGAGAACTGAAATGGGAGGGTGTGGAGAAAATATTCTTCAGAAGAGTGTGAAGCCAAAGGAAAGAAAGAAAGATGACAGAAAGCACAAGGAAAGACTCAAACTGAAACAGTCTGGAACAAATCTGTGCCTATGTGTGAATGACACAAACAAGAAAATGGAAACAGAACTTTCACAAACTCAAAACTGCTCCCAAAAAAACCCTTTTACCATCAAACCTAATGTGAGAAGTTTTGAGTTCCAATTGCCAAGGTGTGATGGGCACAAACCCCAGGAAGATATAAATGCAGAAACAGTTCCAAAAAAAGCTCAGTTCATACAGCAAAGGAACAGGAATGTCCTCTGTGAGGACGGCTGAGACAAAAGGCACAAGCCAACACTGCCCTCGCACCAACCTCTTCTCAAGCAGCCTACAGGATTGGTGTATTTGATTCTACTCGGTAACGAGCAACCTTCTGCACGCTTCAGAAGACTTCCCAGATTTCCACAACATTCCCTATTGCTTCCTGCAGACATTCTGGTTTGCTAGCCTTGACTTAGGCCTTGTGTTTTGGTTCTTGATGCTTAGTCCTGATGAAGCATTAACTGTCCAGGCGCTCCCCAGCTACTGCCCTAATACCATTCCCAGCGTCTCCTATAGACACAGCCTCCCTCAGGTCACAGGCTGAGTCAACAGCTCAAGACCACAAGAGCTGTTTCAGCTAAGGGAAAAAATTCTGGAAGAGCTGTATAGCAAAAAGCTGTGCTGATTGCTTCCCAACAGACTGAAAAACAATTCACATCCACGTGTGTAGATTTATTGGAAGTAATCTGCCTTGGAATTTAGAGGGCACAAAGTAGTGTAGTAGAGTCAGTTCAGTATTAGTCACACACAATTGTAAGTAGAGCTCAGCTCCCTCAAATAGCTTCATTTCTTCATTGGGAGAATTTTCTACATTTTCTAAGCCAATGTTTTCGTACTTTTTCCTCAATAACCTTTTAAAAACTACTTTATTATCTTTCTTAAAATTAAGATGGTACAAATATTCTTTTGTTGGGGCCATGACCCTCCTGCTGACCAGTACTGGTTCCTTGTGAATCTCCTCTCTCACTTTACGTCTACTTTGTGGAGTCACTGGAGTAGGTGACACTTTTTTTGCACTACATTTTCTAAGCACCTTGAACAGCAGACTCCTGAATGAAAACCCTTATTCTGAGGTTTTACAACCACCCAGGCACAGGAAGAATCTCTCTCAGCACCTTCTGTGGGATTTATCCGCACATAACGATTTTCACTGGATGCATACTTACCAATGACGGGAAAAAAGACCTACAGCAGATTTTGCTCTTTTCTGCGAGGCACCCTTAGGCCTCCAACACAACAGCTGAGAGGCACTAGCTACAATCTCTATCGCTCTTGATGCGGTTTCCTGTGGCCAGGAAGGTCAGGGATAGTTTTTGGCCAAGAACCTTATTGACCTAACAGCACTAGAAAGAAACCTTTTTCAGCTATTTGTCTGCATTCTTTAGGCATGAGGAAATGAAGAAGGGGAAGCACTGAACTATGTAAAGTCATGAAGCAAAGACAGACATTCCATGCTACAAAGCTATTCATCTCATTTAGATGCCACGAAATAAACAACTTTTCTCCCATGTGCGATGAGGATTCCCATATATAATTTTCCAAGACTAATGCTACATAAACATACTTAGAGACCAGCCACACTATGCAGACAGCTTTTGAGAACAGTTAGGAGGTATGTCTGTTAGGCCCCTTTTTAGTATACTACCAATCCACAGATCAAGGTTAACACACATTTCCTCTCCTCCTGTATCTTGTGCCTCCTGTACCTACAGCTTGTACCTTTCTCTAGTCAAAAAAGAACTGTTGCAGCTCCCTCCACACCAGTTTAAGGGTGTAGAAAGAGCAAGAAACCTGACTCCCGTTACTAACTGGGTTTTGCAGACAACACTGGAATACAACTGCTAAAGGTAAAGAAGCTGCCAGGGGAGAAGATATCTAGTGAGGGTGTGGAACTGCCAGCAGGCAGCATGGAATGGATAAAGGTAGGCATAGAGACAAAACGCAAGGAAAAGGCAGAGATAGAAGAGTGTCATACCAGGCAGGCTGCTGCCAATGCCAATGGGAATGAGAAGGGTTTATACAGACAGCCAAGCCTGCTTCCAAGCTGAAATCCCCTAAGTTCCCAAAAGAAAGTAGAAGCGCATTTTTCCTCTTAATCATGCATACTTCAGCAAACCTCCGGAGACTGCTCTGTAAACTGCAATGATAAAACCAAATGTCAAGACAATAAACGGGGCACTGCATCTCTGCCGCTTGCTACAGGGAGGCCTCTTTTGACTTCAAGACAGTAACAACTTCATGAACAGAAAAGCTGTGCAGAACAAGCACTGTCTTTTAGATTGACCTGAAGGGAGACAGCAGAGCGGGGCAGCACAGAATTAACTCATCTGGCTAGTTCTTTTCTAAAGCTTAAAAAGGAGATCCATACTGCCACAGGGACATCTTATACTTTCCTGTCATGCATTCTGAAGCATCACAGCAAGCACTGTCCTTGCATGGCAGAGAAGCAGACAAATAGCATGAGGTAGTGCTGTTATTTCTAAACTGAGGAAACTTACTGTAATTCACCTCTATTTGCAAACTCCTACCATAATCACAGAAAGCTGCACTGTTGCCATGTATCAACAGAGAAACAAGTAATGGTGGTGAGCACCAGATTAAATGATGGCAAAGTCTCAAAGTACAGCAAGGTAGCCCTGACACTGGAGTACCCAGCTCCTTCATTGGGACATTAGGCAGCTAAAGTCATGCAAGCATTTTTATTTCTCTCTCCTTCAATTTCTTAATCTACAAAAGGAAGATACTAGCTAAAAGTATTCAAGAAAATGACAATATTTAAAGTTTCATTATTTGCTCTTAATGTGTAAATGAAACAAAAGATTTGCATTGCACTGCAGCGAGAGTTGGGTTGTTAAGCCCACCTCCCCATGAGAGGTGCTTGTTGGCTTTGTTGCATTTTTTTTTAATTAGGCTTCTACCTCACTCTGGCCTCTTCAGAAACTTTCCTAGCATGAACTTAACTGTGCAGCATGTTCAGCATCACCAAAACAGCATTTTTAATCACACTTTGTTTAATCAAAACTTTCCAACTAACTCTAGAAATGGCTCTGGTCAGCTCTGTAAAACACTGTGGAGAATTACAGTGAAAAACCTAACTTAAATATAGTGCTTTATTACTTGTATAAACTGAAAATTTCTTGCAAGAAACATCTATTACACCTTCATTGAATCAAACACTGCTTCAAGCCTTTTGAAATTTTTCCATGAAGGATATCATGTAATAACAATAGCTAAGGGCCTTGCAATACCTTTGAAAAATAAGCAATAAAAACTGTGAACTCACACAAAATGCTTCATGTACTTCTGAAATAGAGCTGCCTCTGGAGTAAAGCATAATACCCATTTAACAGTAAGAAGCCACAGAAGTATAAAGGGCATAAAGGAAAAAAATATACCTATATATGATTGCATCCACTTAGAGCAAGGAGGAAGTTTGTGGAGGCAACAGTGCAGTTAACCAAACCAGAATTTAAATAGTGTCCTGAGCTCGATGCCAGACATGGCCCACATCTCCAAATTTGGTACTTTTCCAAGGATGAGTCAAAAGCTTTGCATCCAGTAACAATCTGTAGAGCTTGGTAAGGGTGGAAAGGAGGTTTGCCTGGCTTTGATTTACTGGATAACTTAATCTGTACTGTTTCCGATTGTTTAATAGTGTTGGTGGGCTGGGCTTGTGTTATCTTTAGATGACACTTTAACGTTGCAGGGCAATCATTACTACATTCTTGTAAGCTCAGAAGGCCTACAACTATCTTTTATATCTAAGAGAAATTGTAGCTCCTCAGGCAGAAAGGCAACAGTGATAAGTCGCTTTAAGTCTAGTACCTGATCTACATCAGGCTTGAAAACCAGAGTCTCTCGCGACCTCAGCTCCCTGCATTGGCATCTTCTCCAGTCAGGTGCAGATGCCATACCCTGAATCAGAGAATCCAACACGCTCTTGGGAGGTCTCCTACTCACAGAGAGCCTCTCCCATCACTGTTTAGCCCATGAGAAACTCTTCAGCCAGAAAGTCTTAGAGGCTCTTGCAAAAACTAGTTTCGCATCACATGCCTTGTTTTGCCAAAGCCATCAGTCCTCATGTAAAGCCCGATTCCACACTACTTCATGTCCCGCACAAGAATTTGCATTCCTTCTTAACGAGAGTAAAATGCTACCACACTGGCATTTCCCACCCCCCCCCCCCCTTTTTTTATAAAAAAAAAAAAAAAAAAAAAAAAAAAACCACCCTTCAGCAAAGAGCTCTAAGGGACGCAGGAGGAGTGGCAGTGCCGGCTTTCCTCCTCACCCATCTTTCCAACAGTTTTAAAAACCACTGAGACTCAGCCTCACTGTATGGAAGAGCCATGAGTGCAAACAGTCACAGATCCAACCCAAGAGCATTCTCCTCACCAGAGGACAATTCACTGGGAGATGATTTCTACACAAATAGAGCAGAAACCCAAAGCATCAAAGCCCCTTATAATTGCACTTGTATGTGAATAGCTTGGAGTAGGATATATAACCCAAATCTTATAAAGTATCAACTCTGTATAAAACACATATTTGTTCCTGCTTTTCATGTCACTTGGTGCTGCTACTGAGCATCGCACAGAAAACTACCCATGGATCTGATCTGGAAACAGAAACATAGGGAAGATTTAACTTTATTTGCATGATTTTTTTTCCAATCACTATCCTCTTCTAAGAAACACAGAGTCATGCTGGCTGCATAGATCTTAAGGGACTTGCATTTTGCTGAGTATTTATACAGCTCAAGGTTTAGACTTCTATTTCAAAAATTCTGAACAACATTCACTACAAACAGAAAAAGAAAGTCACATCTTTAGGAATGCTTTTTTCTGACTCAGAAGACAGACGAGGTCTCAGGCCCAAGTATGCAACTGGCATGTGGCCTGGTGTAAAGACTTGCCCAAAAGGCCTAGGGAGCAAGCAGCTGTGGTGCCAGGGCTACGGGGCAGGGTCAGCAACTGCCCAAATTGAGGAGCAATTCCCCCAGGCCAGAAAACAGCTCTGAGGAAGCCAAGCAATAAAGTCAGGCTCACATACCACACCATCCTCATATGGTCTCACAGTACCCAGGCTGAGACCTCTTTCAAAAGCCTTGGCCCCCTACCTCACTGGGAGATTATCAGTCAGCCAGGCCTCTTGCTTACACTGTCTCCTACTATCAGTTTCCAAAGGAAGGAGAGAGTTTGCACAGAGCAACAGCAAATCTGGTTTGGTACTGAAAGAAACCTTTGGCAAATACAATAAACTCTTGACACAAAAGATCAGTCCAGCTCCTAGAAACA